ACAAAGACGAGGAGTCTGTTTGGACACAAAGACAAGGAGTCTGTTTGAACACAAAGACAACAAGTCTGTTTGGACACAAAGACAAGAAGAATGTTTGGACACAAAGACAAGGAGTCTGTTTGGACACAAAGACAAGAAGAACTTTTGGACACAAAGACAACGAGTCTGTTTGGACACAAAGACAAGAAGAATTTTTGGACACAAAGACAACGAGTCTGTTTGGACACAAAGACAAGAAGAATGCTTGGACATAAAGACAAGAAGAATGTTTGGACACAAAGACAACGAGTCTGTTTGGACACAAAGACAAGAAGAATGTTTGGACACAAAGACAAGGAGTCTGTTTGGACACAAAGACAAGAAGAATGTTTGGACACAAAGACAAGAAGAATGTTTGGACACAAAGACAAGGAGTCTGTTTGGACACAAAGACAACAAGTCTGTTTGGACACAAAGACAAGAAGAATGTTTGGACACAAAGACAAGGAGTCTGTTTGGACACAAAGACAAGAAGAACTTTTGGACACAAAGACAACAAGTCTGTTTGGACACAAAGACAAGAAGAATGCTTGGACACAAAGACAAGAAGAATGTTTGGACACAAAGACAACGAGTCTGTTTGGACACAAAGACAAGAAGAATGTTTGGACACAAAGACAAGGAGTCTGTTTGGACACAAAGACAAGAAGAATGTTTGGACACAAAGACAAGAAGAATGTTTGGACACAAAGACAAGGAGTCTGTTTGGACACAAAGACAACAAGTCTGTTTGGACACAAAGACAAGAAGAATGTTTGGACACAAAGACAAGAAGAATGTTTGGACACAAAGACAAGAAGAATGTTTGGACACAAAGACAACGAGTCTGTTTGGACACAAAGACAACAAGTCTGTTTGGACACAAAGACGAGAAGAATGTTTGGAGACAAAGACAAGAAGAATGTTTGGACACAAAGACAAGAAGAATGTTTGGACACAAAGACAAGAAGAATGTTTGGACACAAAGACAAGAAGAATGTTTGGACACAAAGACAACGAGTCTGTTTGGACACAAAGACGAGGAATCTGTTTGGACACAAAGACAAGAAGAATGTTTGGACACAAAGACAACAAGTCTTTTTTGACACAAAGATAAGAAGAATGTTTGGACACAAAGACGAGAAGAATGTTTGGACACAAAGACAAGGAGTCTGTTTGGGCACAAAGACAAGAAGACTGTTTGGACACAAAGACAACGAGTCTGTTTGGACACAAAGACAAGAAGACTGTTTGGACTCAAAGACAACGAGTCTGTTTGGACACAAAGACAAGAAGAATGTTTGGACACAAAGACAACCAAGTCTGTCTGGACACAAAGACAAGAAGAATGATGGACACAAAGACAACGAGTCTGTTTGGACACAAAGACAAGAAGACTGTTTGGAGGAGTCAAAGTGAGACTTTGCGACCTGAGGACACTGAACCAACAGTCAGGCATGGTGGTGGCAGCATCATGCTCTGGTACAACATGAAGAGGACTACCTCCAAACTCTTCAGCGTCACCTCAAACAACAGCTGGACGATTGGAACTTGAACACAGTTGGGTCCAATGGGACATGATCCCAAACTCCAGAACTGGTTTCAGATTAGATTGAACAGACCTTCCTAAAGTTTTGACCTCAACCCGATTGATAATTTATGGACTTTGACTAAACTCAGAGAAGAACCCAACCGGTTTAACTGAACTGTACCAAGAAGAAGAGTGGTCCAACATCATCCACAGTTCTCCCAGAATCTCACTGTTGGAGACAAAAGCCTGAGATCCAGGAGACACCGGTTGTTGGACACTGAGCCAAATACTAGCTGGGGGCGTGGCTCCGTTTTGGCTGTTTAATTTGTGCAATCCAGAAAAGAAAAGTTCAAATAAACCTCAGTGTTAAAAAGCCTTGTCAAGTTAAAGACATTTCAGAACCATCAGAACCTCTGGGTGAGGAACTGGTCCTCTCTGACTCACGTGTTTCCGGTCCAGTTTCCAGGCCTTGTACGGCTATGCGCCTCAGAACGACGACGAGCTGGAGCTGCAGGAGGGAGACCTGGTCAGCGTCATGGAGAAGTGCGACGACGGCTGGTTTGTCGGTAAGTCCAGGTGGAACCGAGGTTCCTCTGCGCTCGCTGCACGCCGTTCATCCCGCCAGGCTTCCGTGGAGTGACAGGAAGTGTGCGACGTGCGCAGCGTAACGTTCAATGTGACACAACTCCTCTGCTATTTTAGTCCCGTTTATTTTTGTCGGACGTGTCACGGTAGTCCCCGTCCGTTAACTTTCTCTTAACTGGAACAACTTCAGATGCGCTCACGATAATTTAACTTGTCACACGTTGGTGCCGCCGCTAGACGGCGTGTCGCTTGATCAGCTCTAATGTCAGCGTCACAAATCAAGGGGCCGTTGCTGTACATCGTTCTGTGGTAACTTGCTCATATAGTTGCTCGTTTTTCGTCTCTGCAGGTACATCGAAGAGGACGAAGCAGTTCGGGACGTTCCCTGGAAACTACGTGAAGGAAGTGAAGCTGTAGCCTGAATCTGCCCACGACGCACGGCCGCCTGTCGAGCTTGGGAAGTCGTTACTACTGCGCACGGCTGTGGGTCGGATTAGTCTCTTAACCCGGCAGGTATACATTGTTTGGGAAGGCGATCCTTCGGACTGGGGTATGTCAAAAGTGCACGTGGACAGAGACAGAGGTGGGTGGACTGATTACTGCCTGAAACCTCAGCACGATCACGGCGGGATTCCACGGCGGTCACTTTTGGACAAAACTCGTCCGTCTCCACGTGTGGGATAAAGTCACACTAACCAACTTGTGTTGCACAAGCGAAAGCTTCCGTTTACTAATCTTGTAGAGCACGAGTGTTTATGTAGCTCCTCAGGCAGCCAGCAGCAGAGTGGGTCCTCCTGAAGGGGACTTTAGAGGAGCAGGACGGCTCATTGTCGAGCCTCGTCTGGATCTACAGACGTTTCCTTCCACTGGTCACGGGCAGGGATGTCAGACTCGTTTAGGGCTGAAGTTATTTGAACCGTTGGAGTGATTCTACAACACATACCAACTTTAAAAATATAAGTTTGAGTTGATTGTGTTGGTCCACACAGGCTCCGCTGGTCTTTGGTTAAATGTCTCAGCCTTTCTCGCCTGGACCGCAGACTTTTAGTCTCCATCAACGAGCTTTTGGCAGAGTTCTGGGTGATGTTTGACCGCTCTTCTTCTTCTTCTTTCGCTTCTTGTCAGATCCCGTAGAAGTTGTTTAAACTTGTTGAGGTCGGGGCATTATTGACTCCTCCAAACATCCTTCTTGTCTTCGTGTCCAACCAGCTCAACCTTTGTCCTCTGACCATCAAACTTTTCTCCAGACGCTGGCGTTCCAGCATGTTCATGACGGATTGAAGCCTTGATGGTTTCTGAACGTCCTAACCAGTTTCCTTTCTTCTGAGGGGGACCATTCGGGTCTTCTTTCAGCCTTTGGCAAAGTGAGGACACTACGGAATAACTTGTATTTGCATGTTTGAACGGATGGTGTTGGATCTTGATGTCATGTAAACTTGTATAAATTCTCCTACTTAAGTTTTCATAGAGATTCTTGGACATTCCCACTGTCCTGAGCATTGGTCCGTTCAATGAGCGCTGTGAAACGAACCCCTTAAAGACCTTCTAAAACCTTCAGTACCACCTTTTAGGCTCTCCCAGTCCTGTTACATGACCCATTATTCTATTCTTGAGCTGTGAGGATCAATCAATTCAAACTTGAGCACCTGATAACACTTACAGTTGAATGTTGGATCATTATTCCTCCCCTTGAAAAAGAACAGCTCAGATAAATGTTTGAAAGTCCTAAATTATTATGACATTCGTGCTCGTGACGTGTGGATACGGATTTTAAAAGTCCCCTTCAGAAACGAGTCCAAGGAAACCGTTTACATTTTATTTTTATTTCTCATCGGCTCAGTGTCTTTAGACGAGCGTTTAAGCTTTTATAGCTCTGGATGCTTTAGATACCGCTTCAGTATTGCCTTCTTTTTCTATGCAAATAATGTTCTGCAGTTGTTAAAATGTGCACGTGAAGTAACGTGCGCTGTTAGCTCCTCCTTTTGTTTCCCAGTTCCTTCATCAAACCCACATATACTGGACGTCTCGTAAACGTGAAGCAAACTGTATAAGCACACCGTTAATCTTCAGAAATTATTTAATTGTCCTTTCAAACCTGTTTGGTTCAAACAAGGGGTAACTGTTGGCTGAGCAGCGGTGGCGAGCGGTAGCCACCAGCACAGGCGTGAACATTTAACTTCCTGCTTGGTCGTTGGGAAGATCCCACTAACAGTATGGGAGCAGATTGATCTGCGCTGACCAACGACTCTTAATTGATGTGAAAACCATCGAAGTGTTGGAATGTGGTAAAAGCTTATTTTGTACGAGTAGTCAAGGGTGTAACGGTACATGTGCTCTTACCGAACCGTACGGTAAATATGTCGAGCTTTGGTGCAGTCAGGTCAACTCTCTCATCTAGAACTTAGTTTTTGGGAGGTTTTGTATTTTCTTTTTGCTAATTGACACAACAGAAATGGACAGGAAGTCACTTTCTAAAGCACTCTACTCAAAAGCAAAGCAAGAAGTTCATTCCAATGAAACAAGGAGCGTGAAGATCAGCTGTGCGGAAAAATTTATTGTGATTAAAGTAAATATCAGCTTAAATATTTTGCATGAAGTTTAGTCCAAATTAATTTTAAAAATCTCATTTTTATACTTTGTTTTAAACTAAAGAAAAATACTTTTTCAGTCTAGAGTTTATTTGTTTGACAAAGAATCTGCACGACATTGTTCACAGTTCAAATTCAAATCAATGAGACGGTAAAACGTGATGTTTTAATTTCTTTTACATTAAAGTTACCATCTGACAAGTTTCACCTTGCTATACACCACCTGCTTACCAGAGCCTCACCAATTCAATTCAATTTATTTATAAGGTGCCAATTCATGACAAAATACTTCTCAGGCCAATATACAAAAGTAAATGAGTTTAATATTGATTCTTACTCATATCTAGATGCAAATCAAATTCCTATTGTATAACAATACATTCACATACAGTACAATACATTGTGAAATGAACTGGATTCAACAGTCTCCGTAGATAAATATACCTGAGTATCATCAGCATAACAGTGGATTTTAACAATGGAAATCTATCTCATGCTATCTAATAATTTTACCAAATGGAAACAAATATAAAGTAAAATGTATTGGTCCAAGCACTCAACCCTGAGGGGCTCCATGACTAACTAGTGTAACAAGGGTGATTTTTTTTTCTGTTTCCACTTTCAGAAAACACTTCAAACCAAACCTAAGATGCCTTCTTATCATCTATCCTTGAAAGGACTGAGGTGGAGTAGGTTGAAGTCCAACCGTTGCTCTTATGCCTCTGAGTTGCCAAGGAAGGTTCTGTAACAGAGCTGTAACCGTCGATACGTGAGGCTAATGTGCATTGTGGCTCAAGGGTGTGATTTAGTGACGAGAGACAGATCTTCTGTTAAGGGAATTTTGAATGTTTACACACATTTTATGCCTAAAGCTCCAGGTCAACCCTGCTGAGTTATAAACTTCGGCTCGATTGGTGGTTTATGAACAACCAGAGGCATCTTAAAAAGGTCTTATCTTTTCAGCCACAGAGGAGGCTTGTCTCTTCTGCTTGGATAATTCTTCTGTTTAATGTAAGTGAGGAATAACAGCATTTGGAATTTGTTTCTTTTTCCTGTCCTGAACTTTAACCCAACCTTAACCAACACAACTGTCACGTATCAAACCGTGGTTTATGTATACCGTTACACCCTTAACGTGTATGTATAAGTACATAGCCTAGAGAAAACGTTAAGGGGCCTTCTAAATGTGCCAGTGTATTTTCCCACGCAGTGGTGGCAACCTTCAGGTCAGTGATATCATTGGATCATAAAAACTTTTGTTGACATTTCCACTTTCAGCCTATAAAACAGAGGTGGTGGCAGGATTTACTCCACTTGTTCAGCTTTAATTTATTTGACCTCTGACCTTAAAGTCGTGTCTTCCTGCAGACTGTGTAGCACACATGACAGTGGAGCTTCGTACATTAAAACAGCCCTTCTTTATTTTTCCGTCGTGCTGTTTTCGTCGGTGTCGTCTGCGTGTTGGCTCTGAGCAGAGCTGTCAGATCGTATTTGCAGATAGCGTGCTTGTTTTAACACGTTGCTGCGGTTCATGGGCCAGATGAGTATTCTTTACCAGGTCTGAGCAACTCGAACCTTAAATCTCTTAGAAGCTCTGAGTTTATCCCCCAATTTAAAAAAGTGTAAAAATCTGTTTTTTCTTGTCTGCCGTGTGAAAACTGCTTGAAAACGCCACGTCCGAGCTCTCGTCCACACTACACTGGATATTTTTATAAACCATTTTCTGCTGGTTTTGAACCTCCCATCCATGAGCAAATAGAATTTCTGCTGAGAAAAACTGAGGTTTAAAAAAAAAACTCAGTGTTTGGTGTATTGAAATTTATCCCTTTTGTCCAAAAACCAAAACAAAAATCTGTTTAGCACAGGAAGTGTCTCACCTGGCTGTACCTGCTGGGGACAAACAGGCCAACATCGTTCATTAGGGAGTCTCTGAAATGTCTGTTGTGCAACCATGAAGATGATCCATGAATATTATTAAAGAGTTGATCCCAGTGTGCCTGTCATCACGTGTAAAGTTGCTCCGACGTACTCGTCAAACCAAACCTGAGCTGCTCTCTCACCATCTCAGTGAGATTCTGAAAAGACCGAGGGGACGGACGGGGCTCACGTCAATCACTTTGGCAAGGCGCTCATGGCTTTGTGGATTTTTGTCGACGGGGGGTGGGGGTGGGGGGTAGAGAAGCGGAGCGCTATGTCTGCAGCTTTTTAGCTAGCACGTCTATATTGCACACTGCTAGCTTAGCGCTGCGTCAGTGCCGGCAGTTGTTGACGGGGGGAGGAGGGGAAAGGAGTTGTGGGTGAAGGACGGTAGGTGTGGGGTCATGGACAAATCGCGGACATGGCGCCGACAAATCGCGGACATGGCGCCGACAAATCGCGGACATGGCGCCGACAAATCGCCGACGTGGCACCAACATGGCGCCGACAAAACGCCGACAAATCACCGACATGGCGCCGAAAAATCGCCGACATGGCACCAACATGGTGCCAACAAGTTGCCGACAAGTAGGCCTGTCACAAAAAACAATAAATCAATTGATCGCATGATAAATGAAAATTATTGACGTCATTTTAATTTATCAGCTTTATCATTTCTTCGTGTCTCTCTTTCTACTGAAGACACTGGATGATAAAAAGCTCAACTCCGGTGATCTTCACTGACCCCTCCCTTTCTCTTTAAAATCTGTCTTAACTGTTTAAAATCATGTTTTTGGATCTTTAAAAGCAGCTAAGCTACGAGCTAAGCTAACAGGCCGACCTCGGGAAACAAACCTCCGTCTTGTCTAAGCTCCAAAATTCACAGTTGAAACTCGTGCCTTTGTGTAAAAAGTTGTTTTTCTCTGCAAAAAGAAGCTGAGAACGTGTTTACTGATTTTTAATTAAAAAAAATTGTGTGAAAAATGCTAACACCGAGTATCCGCCATTTTGAGAATCAAAAAACATGAAGGAGAGACAGCCCATGTCACGTCAAGAGGCCTCCCTCCCATTTTTCTTACATAGACACGCTGCTCGCTCCCTCACTATCCATCCTTTGGTTCAAACAGTCTTATACTACCATCCAGTGGTCGAAAAAGTTACTACATGCAAAACAAATTAAACATTTCTTCTTAAGTTTGACAATAATTACTAATTATTGTCAAATTTCAAACAATATTATCGTTTATTGCAATAGTTTCTGAGACAATTAATCGCCCAGCTCTAACTTTGTTATCGTGTCAGGCCTACCGACAAGTCTCCAGCAGTCACAGCTCAGAGAAATACCGCCTGAACCGAGACGCTGCAAAAGGATCAGATTAAAGAAGTTTTGGGAGAATTTTTAGCCACTGGTGTGTGGTCAACGTGGACGGTCTCATCATCCAGTGGAGAAATTTACTTTTCATAAATGGTTAAAAAAACATCTGGAGTGGTGCGGACGAGGCTTAAAGCCTGGATTGTTTAAACCCAGAAGCGTATTTGTCTTTAATCCTTGACCATGAACGTCCAGAGTCAGATTGTGTTTGAGTCCATGAAGCTTCTGCTCGTCGCGTCCGATTCCTTTTTACCCACATGTTGTGCAGTCAGTGTTTTATCCTCTGTGGAAGTTTGCAGCTGAACTTTTATCCTTTTGTTCTC